AATATTTATATAAATTATAAATTAAAGCATCAAAATTTCAATTGAATTTCGTAAAAACGATGTCGACAAAGACTTCAAACGCGTAGCGATCCTTTCCATTTAACACGCGTAGGATCCCCTAACATTTATGTTTATTCGCCAACTATAGCGCCCTACAATAATACGTTCCGAAAAATTCCGACTAGAAACGCGTTTACATGGAGGACCGTAGGAGAACGACCCGAGGGCTCCGAAAATACATCATCCGCCGCTGCCGTAACACAGCACTCTGGTACAGCTCCATATTTTAAGACGCGTCACAGGAACTGCATAAAAACACGGCGCAAGTATACACAGAGAGGCAGAGTGCAACGACGTGTTTCGGCCCCTGTTGAACGTTCCGCGTTATATCATTGGCTATGGGGGAAGTTGCGGCGACGAACGTTGGAATACGTGGGACGTATCTCGTGTGACGCGACCGGTGACACAACGCAATTGCAATGCCGGCTGTCAGTGTCGCGTTTATTAAGTCACACTTCGTCCCGGTTCAACGAAGCGCTGAATTTCTTTGAATCTGAACTGGCACGCGTCAACGACCACGGGATATGTTTACAACGTAAATTTAACGATATAAAATTACATATAACGCGGTTTTACGCAATTACATTTTCGTATTGAAAGCTACGCGTTGGAAGAGAACGCGTACGACACACATGTTACATTCAATCGTAGCTTTACACTTGTCCGGTCTTCTGTTAGCCCGTAAAGGAACTCGTGACTTTGTGTCCTCATTCGTGACTCGTTTGTCCGACAACCGAGTCGAAACAAAGCGGTTGACCCGTCCTTCGTGAAGTATATCCACGTTTATATTTCGTGAAATTTTTCATGTCTGTTCCGAGCTATACGATTTTCCGTTGACGAAACGAACGGTGACGACAAGGTTAACGACGCAGTGTAACGAACCGAGAATTTCGAATCCGATTATTCACCGCAAAAAAAAACCGGCCGCCATCGTGGCTCGCATCGAAAACGGCCACACGTTTGAACGATAGCGTCGAACATATGAAACTGAGATGCTGACTCACCGGTAGTCTGCTTATCCGATGATCCTTCTGCCTGTCACGTTGCACAGCCCATGCAAGTATTCCAATCACGGTCCTTTGCTTATTGGGAACTTCGATGAAACGTTCATGCAACGACGATAAAGAATAACATCTAATAGCACTGAACAAAGCACACTGGAAACACCGATTGATAACCACGCGGTTTGAAGCGTGCGTCTCGGTAATTTAACGGAAATCACAAAAACTCTCTACCGACCTGCACGGCACGGGATCCGACAGCCGACTGACTTCACGCGGATGCTGCGGCAAGCGTGTTGCCACGCGTCCCCTGCCACACGTCGCGCACATCCCCACCACTGCTCACTCTGTTTCACTCACTCGCGTCGAGACTTCCCTATAGCGCTCTCTCCTTCTAGATTCCCGTTTCTGCACGTGCGAGCAGCAGTTGACTCCAAGTCGTTTGAATTTTATCAAACACAAGAATTCGATTTTAACTGAATTTGCAGCAATTATTCGATTACAGTAATCGTTCAGACGAATAGAGTATCTTTCTAATGCATACTTTTAAGGTTAGATAAATCGGATTGCTGTGATTCACTCGGACACTTCCGTAACCTCTTCCGGCTAAATTTCTTTATAACTCGAAACACCACACTCGTTATGTACGAAGAGATATAAACGAATTAAATGCAGTGCAATAGAGATTTCATTATTTTAACGACGAACTTCTTTCCGACATGTATAAAGGAAGACATATTCACCAATTCGAGCGTCTACCTTCGAGATTATTCTACCGCAGATTCCAACCTCGAAAAATCGAATCAAATGATCGATTGGAACTTCTGGAACACTCGTACAAGTTCTGTTCGTACAGGTATCTCGCGTTCGGTCGAGTTCTCCCTCTTTCCCGCGTCCACGCTGCCCTCTATCCTCCTTTCCCCGCCTGTGGCCGCACTATTTTTCTCGCTCGGAGGTTTTTTTGCTCGCGAACACCCTTCGTGTCGTCTTCTCTTGCCGTTCGGCTCATTTCGCCCGCGTTTCTCGCGACGCCTCATTTTCTTCGTAATCGTTTCACTTTTTTCGCCCCTCCGGTTGCCCCCATAATAGCTTCCTACGCGGTTTGCTTTTCCATGCGCCGTCGTAAACGTCTCTGTTACTGATTCGTTTCATTTCGCCAACGCGCGTCTTTCGTTCCTCTACCCCCACTACTCCACAACTTGCTGCATCTTCCTCGTGCTCAACGATGGCGTTAGCGTGCTATTCTTGTCCATCTGGCTGCGAACACAACGGCGTGCATTTACACTCGTGCCAGAGACGTAACGTTCGCGTCGTTCCATTAGCATAAAGCCCTCCGTATTCCCGTAAGTATCAAAAATTCCGCTTGTAGACGCTTTCGGAGGAAACACGACGAGGTAGTCGCGGTACCGACGCTCCTTGTCTAGCTCGTTTCATTTTTATCGTTTCTCTCTTTCTCGAAGTACCGCGCGGCGTAAACGGCGAAAATCGAGAATTCTAAATTTAATTTTATTCGTTAACGAAACTTTCCTCGTCTGTACGATTTTTTCTCTAAAATTTTTTAAATCTTATCTCGCGCGAAAATCTTCGAATTCAACGACGGCCATAATTAATTTGCTCGCAATAAAGGAATATTTGAAAAGAGACGCGATTGCTGGAATTTAACGCGTTCGAAGCCGGGATTGGTTAAAAAGGCTACTTAAATCTCAACGGAGGGCGCTCGAATCGCAGTTATATTTAATCCGAAAGAGGCGTTCGCTGTAAATGAACATCCACGCGCAATTACCGGTCGCGTGGCGTTCCACGGTCGGCCATGGAAAAACTACGTTGCTTACGGGATTACGCGATGCTCCTCCGTTCATCCGGCTCGATAAAATCGTAAATACACGTTCACGGCCGCGCCAGAGAAAACGCTGGGATTTAACAGAACCGGCATGGCGGGGGTGTACATTCCGAAAGATTAGCAACAAAGAGACCCCTTTGTCAGGAACTTCCCGTTAAGCGACCATTTTCCCGCCCCTCCAATCCCCACTGCTTCTTTCCCGTCTCGCTTTTTCCACCCCTACTTGCTAATTCCCCGTCTACCCCGTTGCTCGTTCCGACTCGGTACACGCGCAACGTATAGGCGCCTCCATTTTTGGTGGTCGCTGAAATTGGGATAAATTTTATATTGGGCAGTGTGTCGAATGGTTACGATATATCGATGTTTCGTGAATCGATATTTTCTAGGGATGCATACAGGTCTATGTCACGTGTGATTTTGTGTGTATGTATTCGCGCGTGTGTGTGGCTGACATTTGGAGTTCATGTCATTCATGGGCCAAGGTGAGTAGTTTCATTTTTTAAATTCTTTTTCACATTTTAATATCGAATCATTTGATTGATATTTAGCTTTTCACATTTAAAATAAATTTTTACTCTTCTATTTTTGGGGTTAGGTTTATTTATTATGTGGTTAATTTAAGATTTTAAAAGAATATCTAATAATATATGATTAATATCGTATACAAAGTAAGAAATCAAATTTTGATATATAAATTTATACACTCAGGCCTGCAAACATTTATCTTCTGTCGTTATATCGTTAAGTACCATATTGATTATATACGAGGTAAAAATCATTTATACGGTACAATGCTGATGCAATTGTAAGTCAATTAAAATTTTTAAACAGCGAGCCAGGATATTGGTTTCGTTGAATAATGATTTTATACAAATTTAATTGAAGTTCACAAAGAAACGTCTCTCAAGTGAATTTAATGGAAAATATCAATATTCATGTCATACTTCCAATGCATCGAATAATATCGACAATCATAAATCGATGGTGCTCAATAACTATATATCAATATTCCTCCATTTTTTGCCACCCATAATTGTAACCTAAACGAAAATTTTATGCGCAAGTTACAAACGTGGATGTCAATCGAAAATAAGGTCGGTTTAACTTTTCGGATTTCACTTCTTTAATTTAATTTTTTCCGATCGACTTTGTTCAGCTTGAAAATTTCTCAATGTCGACGGGTTGGAGATTTTGCTTCGGTAAAATAAATATTCTTAAAGAGGGCAGAAAGTTTTTAAAGCAACAAGGTGTTTTGCGAACATCGGCAAGGTTTTCTTTTCATTATGAGCGCTAGCTAGTTTGACTGGTTGTTGTAAAGGAACTTTTATAAACTTAAAGACTTCCAGTCAACAAGCCCTGGCTACTCCCGCCAACTTGGATTGAATCTCTAATGGATGACTTGAGATTATTCGACGCCATTTTGCTAACCGATACGGTACACGCAAAACCAAATTACTCATAAATAATTCACATGAAAGATTTGTTAAATTCCATGAATAATTCTTCAAATTCCACGAATATATAATCTCATACATAATAGTATACATAAATACAGTATACATAATATACATAAATCATATTCATAAAACCGATTCTCAACTACCCCTAATAATTTAAACGGTTAGATTTTCAAGCATACCATTCTATCATAAATTTCACAAAGACACTCAGATTCTCGAATAATACTAATTCCAAATAATTGAAAAAAAAATTATTTAACACTAGATTTATGGAACCCATCAATTTGACGGATGGGTTGCTCCAATTATACGATGATAACAGATTTAGTTAACTTATATTAAGACTGTTAATATTATCATTGTTTTTAAATTAAACTAATCGTTAAAAAGAAAGACACGTGGTTTCCTTTACCTGTCAATTTGACAGGTGTCAAATATGTAGAAATAGGTATACAGATAACGTCCGTAAACCTAGTGTTAATATATCAAATTTAAAATTAGCCTGCGATGCGTGGAATGTCGAAATAAAATAATTCCACGTATTAATTTGCATATGATTTCTTATTTGTCGTTTTAAAGATATCGTCGACTTTATGGTGGAAAGTCTTCGAATTACCAATTTTCTGTAATTTCTCAATTTCACAGGTGTCAAATATGTAGAAATAGGTACACAGATAGCGTCCGTAAACCTAGTGTTAAATAAACCACTCCTGTCTCCTATGAATTCGCGATATTCCCAATAATAATTCCACACAGAGTACGAAAACGAAAATGGCGGGGAAAAAAGATTTTTGATTATCTCGTTCCATGTTCTCCCATAAAAAAAATCTAAGGTCTGAAAAATTTTACAATACATCCATCTGAAAAACTATCTATCCGCTTCGTCGACACCCAGCGGAATCGGCGGTTTCGAGGGGTCGTCTCGCAATGAAGCACCCTGTAGACCGCGTTTATATGTATGCACCGGCTCTGCGAAACTTTTCGGTTTCGTCTGCATTTTCCCCCGGCAGGTGGTAAGGACGGCGCCGCGGCTGGAAAGACTTTCGCGAACTCGTAAGAAATTAAAGTTTCTTCGCGGAACTCCGCCGCAAGTCGTTCCCCGTCGTCGTCGGCGTCGCCGTCGTGGTCGTTGCGGCGTCTCCCTCGCGTTGTGTCGCGGTCTCCGTGGCCGCCGGAAGTCCAGGTCCCTGTGCGCGCGCGGAGACATCGCGAGGAAATAAATCGACCGATCTGCGTACGTACGCCAGCGTCTACCGGGAATTTTTGCACGTTTCCGTTGGAAAAAACTTGACCAATGACGTTGCTCGGTCTGAGAAATATTCCGAGGTTGGTTTGCTACCGCGAGTCGCTGATCGATGGCGAGGCGGGGGTTGAAAGTGGAGGTTTAAGGTAGTCATTTTCGGATCAGACGAATTGTCGTGGTGTTTCGGTGAATGCGACAGAATTCGAGATTGTAGGAAACGTTTATGGGATGAACGAAGCTTATCGGGGTAAAATACTCGAGGGTGAATGGAATTTTTGTGAATGAAGATGTTCATTCAAGAACGGATGAAGAATTTATGAATGATGGAGTGGTTCGGTATATTCAGAGTTTAAGGAACGTTCAATTGAGAGGTAAAATTAGAATTGCTTTGAACCTCTGTTTCTACATCTGTGAGAAATAATGGTTCCAGGTACGTGGCTCTCATAATCGTGGTGTAAGAATTAATTTCAGAATAATTTCATACGATGAAATTTTGCGATTGTTAACAATTTAATTGCGTAATGAACACTGTATTACATATGGATATGTAATGACTGAAAGCTATTTCGAAATAAAGGAAACTTAATTTATAACGTGCACTTAAATATGACATACATAGATAATATTAATTAAAATGGTATAATGGAAATCAAAATTAACTTTTGCAAATACAGTTGCTTTATTACTTTCAGCAATTATTGAAATAC